CCTCTGTGTATGTGCCCGGAGCCAAATAACCACTATTATCGCACCGAGCCAGCTTTGGAACTTCGGAAAATCATGTGTTTGTGTAAGGATGAGTCTATTCAGTTCTTTTTATCAGATTGTTGGTCCTTATGCCAATAGCATCCTGGTTCAAAGAGCCTTAGGGTGTGTCTCTAAGTTAGGTCCTTCACTGTGTGTAGTCTTCTCTCTGTTTTTAAGTTCACTATTTTTCTCCATCCACACACTGCTGTTAAGCTTATCGAATGAATTTTGTATTTCAAATGTTGTATTTTTTAGTTTTATAATTTTCATTTGGCTCTCTTTTAAAATAGTTTCTATATTTCTGTCAAGATTTCTTCTTGTCCTTTATTGATAGAAAAATTTCTATCATATAAAGAAAAATATGTTTTTATTTATGATCTTGGGCATACTTATTAAAGCTACTCGAAATCCTTGTCTGCTAATTCCAATATGTGGGTCTTCTTGGGGCTGGTGTCCAGTGAAAGTCTTTTGAGAGTGGCTCATTTTCTATTGTTTATTTTATTTGTGTTTTGGAGTAATTTTTTTTTGAGACGTCTCACTTTGTCACCCTTAGTAGAGTGCTGTGGCGTCACAGCTCACAGCAACCTCCAACTCTTGGGCTTAGGCAGTTCTCTTGCCTTAGCCTCCCAAGTAGCTGGGACTATAGGTGCCCACCACAACGCCCGGCTATTTTTATTGCAGTTGTCACTACTGTTTTAGCTGGCTGGGACCGGGTTTGAACCTGCCACCTTGGTATAGGAGGCCAGTGCCCTACTCACTGAGCCACAGGTGCTGCCCTGTATTTTGGAGTAACTTTGGATTGGACTTTGGACAATTATGAATGACATGTAGAAGCCCTGGGTTATATTCTTCTGAAGAGTATTGATTATTTTGCTGTAACACTTCACTGAATTGAAGCTGCAAACTGTCTCTTCTGTGGTAGGTGGCATGTGAAGTCTCTGTTTAGTATGCTGGCCTTTGCTGGGACCCTGTTTGTGTTGCTTATGGTTTAGGAGTCAGTAGAGGTGTAGGCAGAGACTAGGGAAAGAATGTGAGATTTCCCTTTCTCCAGCTCCTGCTGTCTGTCCTTGTTCTTCAAGCCAGAGAGACCATATGTCTCTTCTTGCATATATCACTTCTCTTCCTGTATCATCTACTTTTTTCATATTTTCTATATTTCATCTAGAGTTTATAGTTATCTGGAATATGTTTGGTCTGATAGGGAAGTTCCTGGCCATTACTAGATGCAGAGCCCTTCATCAGTTTCTTTCTTTCTTTCTTTCTTTCTTTCTTTCTTTCTTTCTTTCTTTCTTTCTTTCTTTCTTTCTTTTTTTTTTTTTGAGACAGAGCCTCAAGCTGTCCCCCTGGGTAGAGTGCTATGGCATCACAGCTCACAGCAACCTCCAACTCCTGGACT